TGTTAATCAACTTCGTTTTTTATTTATATAGATATAAAGATATTAACAATACACAATGTACAAGGTGGTAGAGTTTGATGATGGCGGCGTAGGCGTTATTCGACAACAATAGTCGACTCCTAGAAAAAATAGTTGTGTTTGGCCATCAAACAAGAGGATAAATTAAAGTTTGATCGATGGCACAGATCCTGATTCTACCTGGAATATTTATAGCATAAGACGTATGTTTTATGAAACCGGTAAGTCTTTGTATAATACTTGACCTGGTGATTATCAAAAGTGATTTTTTTATTTAAGCCTGTCCTAGCTTGAGAATCTTATAAAACCTATTTATATTGTATATTTTTTAAGACAAATAAGAGGGTAAGCTGTTAGTGCATCACTAAATACTCCATAATTTAGTGCAGATTTTCCACAATTTATTTATACAGACATGCAGCAGGTACAGTAAGCATTTCAATAACTAGTGAAATAGGTTGTGGACTATCTACTTGAGTGTTAATATGGTTATGGTTGTGAGACTACCAACATGCTGTGTATGCAAGCTATAAAATAATATTTAATTGCATGGCTAAATAATATAAGCATACACAACCTCGCTTTGTGGAATTAATCACATTGCAATAATTCCTATCCAATTTTTAGATGTAAGCAGTACTACTGGCGATACTGACGTTTCAAAAACACTATCTTATATGTACTTACTATTACTTTAATATTAATTCAGTCTTTTTTGTTTTACACTTGGCTGCACCTAAGATTTGTTATTTACAAATATGCTATATTAAATTCTTTTTAAATGCATATAAATGCCATTATTTTAATTATATTTCAGTATCATTGGATTTAACATTGACACTTATTTTAAGGACAATTTGCTTAACTCGCAGTGTCTAGGTAAGAAATACACAAGTATTGTACATTATTACTTTTTAACAGATGTAAAAAATATAATGTTAATATTGCTATGCTCTTTTATGCATAAATATAGCTATGAATAAGTTTAATAATCCCTAAGTGATATGAAATACTTTTTCAGATGTAATTGCCCGCCATCTAGCTAACATTGAATTTGCTATTAAAGAATTGCAATCAAATCAAAATGAGATCTTAACAAGGTTAAGGAATCCATCTTCTACTCTATCACCTGCTATGTTGCCTGATGGTATTAAAATATCATGTGATGATTAACAATCTTTACAAGATTCAGAAAATTGGATTTCAAATGATAATTATAAACTGTTGGCAAGTATTCATATGTTTTTTTTATTATTATTTTAATAATAACATTAGTTGGTACTTGTAGTATGTGATATGCAACTCACCTGTTGGAAATTATCACAGATGCTGTACGTCATCATAAGATTGCAGAGTTCGCAACTGATGATGTAATTCAGAATATAATAAGTGGTTGGTTCAGATTTACTAAAGATCGCCATGGAGGAAGAGAAAAGAGAAGAACTACATGTGCCTTCGAACTGACACAAAATTTTTTGGTCAAGAATATGAGGATCATCACATATCTAAAACTGAATTACAGAACTTGATTTAGGTTTAGTGACGCAAGTCCCATTAGACTTTATGCGTTTAGTTTGTTTAGGCGTTATGAAAAAAATGATACTAAGTTGGATATGTAATGGACCAAAAAAATGTAAATTAAATGCTTCTAAAATATCCAAATTATCAGAATGGTTAAAAATTATACGTACATTATCCCACCGAATTTTCGAGACAGCCTAGGTCTTTAAGTTTATTCAAGTATTGGAAAGCAACGGAATTTAGAGCTTTTCTTTTATATTTGGGTTCCATTGTTTTAAAAAATATATTATCGAGTAGTTTGTATAAACATTTTTTGATGTTTCATTGTGCAATATACAGATTGTGTTGTAATAATATTGATCAAAATAATGTATGATGTATATAACTTTGGAGAACTATATTCCTTTTCAACATTTCCTTTTGAAAACTTCATGTGTAATTTTACACATGAAGTTTTCAAAAGGAAATGTTGAAAAGGAAAAAAGAGGTTACTTCATTCGCATAATATGCCATTAGAGAAAATTGCTAAATGGCTGGGTGAAAAAGCAGCTGACAAGAAATTTGATAATAATGTGAATATTAGTAAGAAAAATAATAAGGCTATAATTCGTGATGGACGGATAAAAAGATTTTTTGTATTTAACTGTGCTGTAAGTACTTGTTTAAGAGATTCTTGTTTTGTTACTTTCAATGGAGATGTTATTGTGGTTAAATCTATTGAAGTAGAAGAAAAAGCTGATGCTTATACTTTACACTATAATAGTTTTTTAAACAAAAAGATTTTTACAAAAAATCCATTGAAAGTAGCAAATTGAGAATATACATGGTCAGTGGTGAAAAAAATGTTATTGTCAATTCAAACGATTTAACCAAGAAATGTTTATTGTTGCCTAATTTTGATAGTAATGACCATTCATTTATCTGTGTACCTTATGTGAGTATGAATTTGCACTATAAAGCTTGATTTACTCAATGAGAAATGCTAGTTTCAATTTTAAGAGTGTGGGGAGTGAGTCAATTTCATACAATTTGTGGTGCTCTTACACAGCTATAATATGTTTTAAAAACCTACTGATTGTAATTTTTTCAAGTTTTGTTTTTTTTGTTTCACGCCAATTCATGGTTTTTCAGCCAAATAAAATATGGTTAAATTAACAATTGTATTTTATTTTTACAGCCTCACCAGGATGCCCACCAAGACTACGAGACGTACTGCAGTGTTCCTCATAAAAGGCAAGGACACTGGGCCAAACTGAGGATTTACTCGTTATAGCGCCAACATTGTTTTACAAAGTAAGACCTTCAGACACATTATTGTGGGATTTACAAACTGACTGAATAGTAGGCATGTCATCGGGTTCATGAGTATTTATCAACATTGGTAAAAACATTTGATAAATACATTTTTTAATTAAATGTTTTATTACGATATTTTGGTTGGCCATTCGATACTTTTTAATAGTGCTGATATTCATGTTTTCATGAATTCGATGATATACTGTGCAGTCAGTTTGTAAGCCCTACAAAGATGGTGTATGTAGGCCTTACTTTGCAAAATATGTTGGCCCTATTATGAGTAAATCTTAGTTGGCCCTGTGTCCTTGGCCCTTTATGAGGAGCACTGCAGTTGGCCTTATATAGTAAAAGTTAAGTTAGGCCTACAATTACATACCACAGTTGCCCTACCATGAACGGTCAGCCCAACGTTATAGAATGTTTGTTGGCCCTATGTGAGAAAATTGTGAGAAAATTCGCAGTTGGCTTTACGTTGTAAAAGGTGACTAGGACCAACGAAGGAAAAGCTTCAGTTGGCCCTTTCTCCAATTGTAACGGTGGGCCACGGTACTTTAGCTTTGTGGGCAGCAGTGCAATCAGGGGTGCCATTACCCACAGTTGACCAACCGAACAGCAAACAAAGGCCCAACGAATTGCCGTACCAAAAATGCTACTAGGGTAGTAGATCAACTCTACTACAGCAGGACGCCATCTTCCTGGTAGTCCACGTCCTCGATCTCGAGTTCGCTGAGTCCAAGCAGATCTTCTTAAGTAATAAGTCGACTTCAAACTCCCATCACATTTCTCATTTAACTTCTTTATTGTCGAATATCAACTTTCATAAAATATAATTGGACCTTATTTTCACAAGCTCGTGATAAACAATTCTCTTCGTTTTCCTTAAATTCTGACTCTCTACAAAATTATAATTTGTTTATCGACACTCTCTGTAAAATATTGTTGACATTTTCTAAGAAGTCAACTCCGACTACTTAATCGAAAGTTTACACTCTTTAGAAATTCCTGGTTCAATTCTATCCTGGAACTTTAAATTATTAAACAATCGTACTTTATCTTTAAAAGTTAACAGTAGTGTTTATTGGGTCCAAGAACTCTTTTAAAGGTACTCCACAGGGCTCTGTATTGTCCATTTTAATTTTTTTTTCTTTGCTTGATTAATTTCGTGAAAACTATACCTGATTCTGTTAATTATTTCTTTTACGCTGATGACTTAGTTATATATTTATTTAGAGTACGATAATATTTCTCAAGGAGTGCACTCTATGAATAGTTGTCTCAATCATCTAAGTAATATGCTTAGCAATTGCCTTCAGCTTGAAGTAAATATGGATAAGAGTTCTGTTATGGTCTTTGAACAAATTAGTCATACGATATATCAAAACACTGTGAAAAATCTGGGTATTATGCTTGATTCTGATCTGTCTTGGGAGTCGCTCATAGATAACTTACATTTGTAAGAAGGCCGAGCTTCGTTTGAATATCTTAAGGTCTTTGGAAGGGGTAAGTTGGGGGTCAAATCCAAAGATTTAAAAAAACTTGTATACTTTTATGATTCGTAGTCAATTTGATTACAGTTGTATTTTTTATGCTCATGTATCAAATCATCTGTTGCGTAAAATCGATATCTTACAGAATAAATCTTTACGTGTTATTACCGGTGCTATGATGTCGTCCCCCATAATTTCGCTTGAAGTCGAGTCTGGGATACCTCCTTTAATCGTACGACGTAGTTATATTATGGAAAAATTCTGCTTAAATTTAGTTAACTGGGACAATGTTATTCTAATCTGCTACTTATAAAATTCCCTCCCACTTTGAGTGATTCTATTACATATTTAAATTTCGAATTTCAGGACATTGTGCATTGGACGAAGTGAAGCCCTTGTTTTTCATATAGTTTCCAGTCTATGCTACGAGACATTCCTGTAACTTTGTCTCGTTTCGACTCTAAGCGCGATTTTGATATGCTTTTAGATGGAAAATAATTATATTAAAATTTACACCGATAGGTCGAGAAATAAAATAAAATGATTTAACTCCCTTATAATTCAACTTTAAATTTAGTATAGTTGTATAAATCGGTTGTGTTGTGTTTTTTTATAGTTGTATTATAGTTCTGTTAAGATTTTTCATATTAAATGTTTAAGCTGTTGGCCAGTGTAGCCAATGCTTCAATAAATTAAAAAAAAACTGATGTGTTAAAAATTGTTATGATTATTAAAATCTTGGTTTCGTAAAATAAAAATGACTGATATTTTAATACCAAGCCTATGTTGGATAGATGGACGATGCTACAGAGTAAACGATTCAAACACAAGAGATGTTACTGCTTTTCAAGAGCATGATTTATATGAGAACGGTCAGCACTGCATGACATTATTAGTTTTCTTAATGTAATAAAATTTGTTAGATTTTTACTGAGTTAATGATATAATATTACTTTTTACAGAACATAATGATGACGGTATTGTAGACGAAGGAGATGAAGACGATTTTGAAATTATCACAGTAGATGACTCAAGATTTAGTACCTGCCTTCATGTTTCACAGTGAGTGAGTTATATATTTCCAAAATCGGCAATCTCCACTTTAAAAAATTTTGGCAATGTTTTATTGGCAGATTGTCCAGTATGGCATTATTATCTTTCATTTCGTACTTCACACCTCTAAATCCTTAACAAATTGACTCATAAATTGGATGTGTTTCTAATCACCGCTAACTTCGATATGCCACACAATAAGGTATAAATTATATGCTCTTCTGTAAAACACTTTGTCATGGAGAGAGTCATAATACATACTAAACTAAAATATTCAATAACTTGTCTTATAAACATCCATTAAAATTGTCATTAATTTAAAGCGACATTACTGTTTGACATTCATTCAGTCAGTTGCACAAATGTCCATCAAGGTTTAATGATGCCTTTAAACTCTAATGAATGTCAGATTTGTATGGGTAATGATAATTTTAATGGATGTTTTTATATTTGACTAAAATGATATCAAACATACAGATTATATTTGTTACTAGGTATTTCTTATTTCTAATTTTAAAAATCATCAAACATTGTTTGTCATTTTTATTTACTATCTTATGTGTCTAACTAACACTTCTAGAAACTGATTTGTCTATTATACTTATCATGGCTATAATCTACTCTCAAAATAATATTTAAACAATAAACTTAAATGGTGGTTGTACATGTTTCAGGCATTACATAGGCTCAATCATTGGAAAAAAAGGTGCGACAAAAAGTAGGATTGAAAGAGATACAAGGACAGACATAAAAATACCTAAAATAGGCCAGACTGGAGATATAACAATATTTGGATCTAATGTTTCTGTAAGAACTAATGATCAACAATTTGTTTATTTCTACTAGTTGTTTGCTTTGCATTTGTTGTTGACAACTGCTACAAACACACCTCATACTGTTGAGGAAAAAATAATGACTGTAATCATTTTGTCAATGATAAATACAGCAGTAAAACAATGGCTACAAAAGCTACAAGACACTGACACAGAATTATATATCTGATGGCATAATCTGTGATACTTAGGGGGTCTGCTTATATGTTAGGTAAAAGCTGTGAACTCAAAGCCAATGGCTTGTTATAATTGTTAGCATAAATTTTATATGCTTACGGTGTTATTATTCACGTTGATTCATTCGAGTTACTGTTTTCAGAATATAAAAGCTGCAAGAAGAAGAATAAATATAATTGTAACGTCATCAAGAATGAAGCAAAGATCAACACATTTTATTTCACTGCCTATGAATAATTCTGATATAACAAGGAATTTTGAATTATTTAAGGTAAGAAGTGATTAGTTCTGATATAGATTCATCGTAGAAAGCATTTTGGAATGTTAAGACCACAGAAATAAATCTAATGTTAGGACCAAATTATTACTTAAAAAGAAACTGGTGAGTCACATGTAATCTAAGAGAATTTAATCAATAAGACTAAGCATGCAATATCTTCAAGCATTCATGTGATCTTTAAGATCTACAGTGTGTCAAAAACGTTATTGATCAATAGGTCAGGAAAGTATACTCCAGGAAGAAACTGAAATAACTATTAAAAACCATTATCGAACAATTTCTTTTGTCTTTCCTTCATTATGGGGCATTGGTAGAATTTCTGTGTAGAATGGTAAAAGGTCATAGTAAAAAAAACTGAATTTATTTTATAATCGTTCTGTGTAGACACTCAAGCAAATTCGGCTGTGCCTTATATAGAATAGAATAAATATTTAATTATCACATTAATTTAAAAAAATCTGATTTTAGGAAACTGTACTTCGTGACTGCTCCAGTAAAGGTTTAGATGAGTCTTTGTTTATTAGACCTCAAAAGTTACATCTTACATTAGGTGTAATGTGTTTAATGGATAATGAAGAAAGATTGCTTGCATCTAAATTGCTAACAGAAGCTAAAGAGAAAGTTGTTAAGTAAGAAATTATGCATTGTTTTTATCTCATTCTTATGATGACATTGCATGTAAATTTCCATATACTATGTATATTTCTTATGTATATTTGTTTTTCAGGCCTTTGCTTGGAAATTGCCCTTCATTGAGGATAAGGTTGAGAGGTCTGTCTTATATGAATGATGATCCTAGTGCAATTGATGTTTTGTATGGATGTGTTGAAGAAGAAAACGGCCCTCCGGGTATTATACAGAGATTAGCAGATGGGCTCGTAGACCATTTTTATAAAGCTGGTGAGTAACTTTTATCATAACCATAGAATGTCTCCTTCTCCTAAATAGTAAAAGTGAAATGCACTAGGGCCAATTACATTTTGTAGAATTCGTTTTGTACGAATATGTCCATATTGTATTGTCGACTTATGAATACATACTTACAAATCTCACAATCCATCCTGGCGTGACATTCTGTAAATTTTGTGAACGAGCGCACGCGCATCAGTGTTAACATCAGCATGCGTAGCATGATGTTTTGTTGCCACTCAAATGTCACTTACCTCGGGTCGAAATTAAGATGTTGTAAGGGTGTAGACAAGCGTTTCAATGAACAATATTGTCTACTATTTACCTATTATAATGAATTTCAATTACAATTTATCTAATCTATATGCATATTTATCCGCGCAGTGCCAAAGTTCCTCCAATTCGCATGACGTCATCAGAGCGCCTGGGTTCCTTCAAAGATAAATAAAATTTCGATTTATTACTGTCACTACTAAAGTATCTATGAACATAATTATGTTATACAGTTTCGGTGTACAGTAAAGGGACGATGAGTGGGTAAAAAAATGTTTTATTAGTCTGTCAGTCAGATAATGGAAAAATATATTTATTTAAGCTTTATTGCTCAAATAAAATTGTACAAATTGCGGAATTAATGCTATATGCACTACGACATTTTTTTTTGCTGCAATTTAACAAAAAAAGCATTAAAGTTGCATTAAAGGGCTCGCTATGTTACAACTATGTAGAAAATGTATAAAGGCGTGACGTCATCCGACATTTCAACTTAATTTTTCGCGATAATTTAATGATTACGCAAAAAAAAAAAACAAAAAAAAGTGTGTAATATTCTTCAATGATCTACAGACAAAAAAAATAGTCATCCCGTCTATCAACATCAGTTTATATAACATTTTATTATATTTTGTAAAGGTTACATGGATCGGGAGTACGGTCGTGACAACGTGAAACTTCACGTCACTTTAATAAACTCGAAGTATAGAAGTCGGACATCAACTAGCGTGAACGATGACGTCACTGGATCCAAACGCCAAGCAAGACTGACCTTTGACGGATCTGAAATATTAAATAAATACGCAGATTATGACTTTGGTGTGACTGAGCTTAAAGAAATACATCTGTCTCAGCGCCATTCGATGGGTAATGATGGTTATTATCAGCCAACTTGTGTAATATCTTGTGATATTTGAATTGTATTATTTTTGTAAAAAATAAATGTTACTTATAGCATTGGTTTTATTATTAATTACCTGTTTTCGCAACTTCATCCGTCTAAAATATAGCCTATGTCACTCTATTAAGATATAGCTCTAGTAGGTGAAAGAATATTTAAAATCGCTATACTAGTTTCGGAGCCTATTCAATGCAAATAAACAAATAAGAAAATCTTTTCTCTTTATAATCTTATATACTTAGATAAAACAATTTTATGAATACCATTGATATTATATAGTAGTGGACTGTACTCCTAACGTAGCATGGACTAGGTCGTATCAACACCGGCGTCCTTCGCTTCTTTTTTATTTATTATTATTATTTTTAGTGATTGACCTTTTTCTGTTTTACCGTGAAATTTTGCCAACGTCCCGTAGTAAGAGAAACACTTATAAAATTGCTCGGTTATTATTGTGTTGTCCTTTTAGGTCAGCGAAGAGTGTACTCAAGGAAGAAGTCCTTCGCTTTTAGTACCTGTTCTATCAAAGTCTACCTCATCATCATCATCAGCCCTTTTACGTCCCCATTGCAGGGGCTCAGGTCTTCCTTATGGATGGTTAAGGAGAATGGGCCATGACCCTTCACGCTGACCCAATGCGGATTGGAGGATATTAACGACTGTAAATGCAGCCGGGACCAACGGCTTAACGTGCCTTCCGAAGCACGGAGTTGCTCGAAATAATAACTTTTTGGTCACCCATCCCGTGACCGACCCTTGCGAAAGTTGCTTAACGACAACGATCGCGGGTCGTGGCGCTTATCCACTACGCCACCTAGCTACTACAAGTCTACCTATTGATATGTTATTATAGATTTTTTGTATTGACTATATAAACTGTCAAATTTCACCACTCGATTTTAAACCTTAATAAATTGAGTGTAGAGGTCAAAATCTATTTGTGGTAAACTGACGTGCCGTGTATACATAACTGTGATCATGAGTCGGTAGGTAACTGCCGCGATGCATCGGAAGCCCCCTGCTGTCTGGATGTCTGCAAGACTATGGCAGGGAGCCACATCGCATATGCCTATAATAGCTTCCGCGTAGTTGTATTCCTAATAATTTTTAATAGTGCCTGATAATATCTATAGGTACAAACTAGAGATGTACCGAATATTCGTTTATTATTCGGCGAATTCGTCATCTTTCTGCTTATTCGGCTGAACTATTCGGTTTAGGTGCCGAGTTAGTGTATTTTTATTTTTTTTGTCTACACATCATGGTATAGTATTAAAAGAACAAAGTCAAAGAAATCATAAAAGAATATGTTTAATATAGCTAATAAAATAAAGCAATTAAACTTCAAATCAACATTTGTTTTTAAACCTTTTGACGCGGCAAATCAATGAAATGATAAATCGAAGAATTCGGCCGAATATCCGGTACGGTAAAAGTTACCGAATAATATTCGGTATTCGGTTATTCGGAGAAACCACTATTTAGCGCACCTGTAGCATAAATCATATAACATCAGCAGGCCAATTCTGCTAATGTTTGCGTGCCTAATAATAACATCTCAATGGAATCTCAACTTCTTGCATTTTGCCATTGTATTGTCGTGGTATTGTCTACCTGCACGCGTAGCATTACAAACTCGAGAAACGCTTTGTCTACATTCATTTGTCAGTTTCTTGGGTCGAGAGTGAGATATCGATTGGGCGCACCCGAGAAAAGTGACATTTAAGTTTAGACAAAACGTTCTCGAGTTTGTCATGCTTCGTGTGCTGAACTCCAATATTATTAGTGCAATGTCTTCCTAACAAATTATTTAATGACAGATATATAATAATATTGGACTTCAGGTGGATAGTACAATGACAGAATGCAAGTAGTTGAGCTTTTATTAAGATTCGATTATTACCTAAACATTAACAGAATTAGCCTGCTGGGCTCGCACAAACGATAACGTTTTTCTATTCTATTCTAATTTGATTCTAATATGTGGAGTAGCTCGGTGGCGTAGTGGATGAGCTTCGCGGCCCGCGATTGCTGTTGTTAAGCAACTTTCTCAAGAGTCGGTCACGATATGAATGACCAAAAAATTATTGTCTCAGAAGCCGTTGTTAAGCCGTTTTGGTCCCGGTTGTATTTGCAGTCGTTAATAACCCCCCAATCCGCATTGGGAAAGCGTGGAGGGTCATCTTTCTTAAGCTCCATAAGGAAAGCCCAAGTCGTTGCAGTGGAGACGTAAAAGGGTTGATGATGAAGTGGAAGTATAATGAATCTTAGTTTAGTCAAGCGGCGTGAACTAACCTTGCAAGAAACTTTATAAAATATGATGGTTTATTCTATTAAAACAATAAATAACTCATTCGATTGAGGGAACAGTTCTTGTTAGGGTTAAATAAAGGAAATAAAAAATCACAATACAAAGTTATTTTTAAAATCTTTATACAAATGAAAAAAAAGCAGTAATTGAAAATGACAAAATTTTATTAATTATATATTTTACGTCATCGTAGCTGCAGTATTCGTTTTCGTATCAACAGGTTGCATCCGTGGAATTGCATCTTTCCATCAAGTGTATTATTATTATCATAAAATGCTGCAGATAAAAGGGTCGTCCGTCGTAGTATGGGGACAGGGAATCCGTAGCGAAGGCGGGTGGGTGGGGAGGGATTGCCCGCCGCGGCAGTAGGGACGCATTGGCTACGCGGTTCGCTCGCTTGTGTACCGTAGCACTCGTAGCGATTCATTTACGAATGTGTCGCTGACGTTTACGTGTTTTTGAAAGCTGCAGATTAAATTAATTGGTAAGCAAAATTATTTTGTAAATATTTTCATTTGAATAATTCCAGAAAGTAATACGAGTGTAATATTTTTAGTTGAAGACGAAATATTGATTTGTTTTTTAAATTTCTGACTTATTAGTAGGCAAAGGAAATGAGAAAATTAAGCATCTAATTATATGCTTCGTAACAAAAATATGATACGCATTATTTAGTTAAATAAAATATACAATATCCAGTAAATTAATAAAATAAATAGATAATATTTTTAAAGCAGCTAAAGAAATATTACACGTCTTGTCCAAGTAACATTCTGCAATTATAACTGGCGTTTCTCTAATCAAAATGGAGTTACTTCAAGAGTGATAACTTGAAAGCGGAGGGGACCGTGTCGCCCGCTTAGGATGTGAAATAAATCGCATAAAGCCCCTCGTTGTGGGCTTCGAAGCCTTATACTAAGCAAAGCATACTCTGTGTCGCGACATTGGGATTTAACTTTCATCAATATGTGTACCATACCATTATTTTCAGATGTTAACAAACATGATTTCATTTAAAAGGACAAATAAAAGTTTGTTCCAGTTAAATAAAATACTATAAAATAAAACATTTAAGAGATTAGCTTTCTGCTTGCGGCTTGTATATACATGATAATTTGATAGGTACCACATATGTATATCCCAAGGAAACCGTTTGGATAAAAGAGTAGCCTATATGTATTCAGGCTTAGAATTATCAGTAGTCTGCGTGAAAAAATAACAAATATATATACATACATTTATAATACTTATCAGTAGGAAGTAGGAGAAAAGAAGAATAGGAAGTTGGCTTCGTTAATTTGTTTCATATTGTTCAGAATTTTTGAAATTGTATAATGGTATTTTTTTAGTTCTAAGATCATGGTATCGAAACTCATGTTCGGCTTTCTTGGCTTTCGGCCAGTGGTCTTTTGTCTTCGCCTTCAAGGACTGGTCCTTGAACTTTTTATAATGAAAGTTTGCTGTAAAATAAAAACAAAAAATAATCTAACTCACCCAGATATGACTTTAACTATGTGTAGTATCTACTATACATACTTAAATCTATCAACTTTACTAATTGGTTGTAAGTATAAATAAAAAAAGTGCCAACTGAGATTCGGACTCACTCTAACGGTCCGTGTCATTATTTATAAAAAACCCAAAAATCATGTCTGTTATTTGGGAGCTTTAAATATTTATTTTAATCTGTCTGGTAATATATGGATGGACAGACCGGCTTATAATATTTGACTACGGAACCCTAAAATGGATATAATCAACTCGATAAGATTAATATTCTAGTAGTGTATTTTTTATTTTTTCTCTTATGAAATTGAATTTCTTTCAAGCAGATTATTGCGTAAAAAAACTTTCTAAGATCCTTTGCAAGTTTTCATATCAAATTAAAATATCTATCCCTTATGAAATATCTATTCAAGGTGCTCAATGAATTTATTCATGTTTCAAAGTTTTCACTTTTCTCCACATTCTCAAGTAGTGTTTAATTTTTGATAAATAAAAATTACAAAATAATACAACGTGTCTTCCATTTTCAATTCACACTACACGCTTGATAGAAATAATTTCCAACGGTTTTATTTATAATATAATATGTAGGTATATCTAATAAGAGACGTTATGTGTAAATAATGTGAATGAAGAAATTGTGTAAAACGGTAACTATCCAGAATTAAGTTTTTTTTTATATATATCAAACGCGCTTTAGATATCGAGTTAAGACATCACATTATACGCCTTGTTGCATCCTCACTAAAGAGGTTTAAGCGTTCCTTTTAGATGGGTATGGAGGATGGGCCATGCCATGACTTTCCACGCTGGTCTACTCCATGACGCTGGCCCAATGCGGTTTGGAGGGTATTAACGACTGCAAATGCAGGCGCAAACAACGGGTTAACGTGCCTACCGAAAGATGGAGTAACTTAAGATAATAATTTTTGGTCATCTATCCCGTGACCGATCCTTGTGAATGTTGCTTATATAAAAGATCGGCTGCAGCGCTTATCCACTACACCACCTTTGCTTTTATCAAGAATTTTACAAGCTTTTATTTGACTTCCTTGTTAATAAGTGTGAAAATCTTGGAACCAAAATTTGCCCCACTTCCCAATATCCGATAGATTTAAAATTTTGCATAGACATGTTAGTCAGATGATAATGTAATATTATGGTGTCAGTAAGCTGATATTATATTGAAGTGGAAAGGTGGTCATAGAAACTTTGCAATGAAATAACTCGACTAAA